CAAATGGAGACAGAATACAGGGAAATGCATTCACAATTGCTGCAAAAAATTAAAATATCTTGGAATAAATCTGATGAAAGACACCAAAGACCTCTACAATGAAAATTTTAAATCTTTAAAGAGATGGAAGGACCTCCCATGCTCATGGACTGGAAGAATTAATATTGTGAAAATGACCATCCTGCCAAAAGCAATATATAGAGTCAATGCAATCCCAATGAAAATCCCCATGACATACTTCACAGAATTAGGAAAATGCATCCTTAAATTCATATGAAGGCACAAAAGACCCCAGATAGCCAAAACAACCCTGAGCACAAAGAGCAACACTGGGGGGATAATTATACCAGATCTCAAAGTATATTACAGAGCCATAGTCATAAAAGCAGCATGGTACTGGCGCAAAAACAGACACATAGATCAATGAAACGTCACTGAAGATCCAAACCTGGCCTGAGTACATGCAGTTTCAGCCACCTGATATTTGACAAAAGTGCCAAGAACACACAATGGAGGAAAGACAGCGTCTTCAACAAATGGTGCTGGCAAAACTGGATCTCCACCTGTAGTAGAATGAAACTAGATCCTTATCTTTCACCTTACACAAAAGTCGCAAATGGATCAAAGACCTCAATGTGAAACTGGAAACCCTGAAACTATTAGAAGAATATATTGGCAGTAACTTACAGGATATAGGTGTAGGAAATGATTTTCTAAATTAGAAGTTGCTCAGGAATTAAGGTCAGCAATCAATAAGTGGGACCTCATTAAACTAAAAAGCTTCTGTACAGCAAAAGAAACAACCAAAACACTGAAGAGAAAACCCACAGAATGGGAAAAAATCTTTACTAGTGACACATCTAAGACAGGTTTAACACCCAGAATATACAAAGAACTCAAAAAACAAAGAATTGAGAAGCCAAATGATCTTTTGGGCTAAAGATCTAAACAGAGTTCTCAAAGGAAGAAATAAAGATGGCTAAGAAACATCTCAATAAGTATTCAATATTGTTAGTAATTAGGGAAATCCAAATTAAAACCACCCTAAGGTATCTATCACCTTATCCCAATCAGACTGCTAGGATCAAGAGAACAAATGATACCAAATGCTGGTGAGGATGTGGAGAAAGGGGAGCCCTCATTCACTGCTGGTGGGATTGCAAACTCATGCAACCCCTATGGAAAACAGTGTGGCAAACTCTTAAAAAACTACAAATGAGCCTACATATGACCCAGTTATACCACTCCTTGGTATATACCCAAAGGACTCATCCTATTGTAGAGACACTTGTACAACCACGTTTGTTGCTGCTTTTTTCACAATAGCTAAGAGATAGAAGCAACCTAAGTGTCCCTCAACTGATGAGTGGTTAATAAAAATGTGGTATATTTACACAATGGGGTTCTATTCAGCAGTAAAGAAAGATGGAATAATGAAATTTGAGGTAAATGGATGGCTCTAGAAACTGTTACACTAAGTGAAGTAACACAGACTCAGAAAAACAAACAACGTATGTTCTCCCTCATATGTGGCTCCTAGCACCAAATCCTTTTAAATTCCAGGTCCTTTTAATAAGATGATGCTATATAGCAGTCCCTTCTGCATGAAATAACTATCATCATCACAACTTCCGCTGCTAAACATAGTCACAATTGGGCTTGTTGACAGTTGTGTTCATTCATTAAAGGAGTGCCAAGCAGGGTCTGGACCCTCACCTGAGTATCTAGCCACTCTTCCCAGCCAACTAATCCAGCCTTGGAAGACAAAAGAAAAATGAGGAAGAACCCAATAGAGGGATGCTTTTGGAAGCCCTTGTCAAGAAACTCCAATGGACTCTCATATGAACATTTGAAAATTGCCCTGTTCTGACATTTTTCTAATTCCCTGTCTAGAACTTGTAATGCTAATTACTCTTGCCTTTACTTCTCCTTCACAACTATTCATGATTCGAGGACTTTTTTCTCCCCTTAGAGACAAGAGTTATGCAATTTGGGAGTCTTTTAGATAGACCCACTGAAGGGGTACTCCAATTGCCTCACCCTG